AATTTTAAATTTATTTTATTATTTTTTACTTTGTCTTTTTATTAATTTTTTTATTTTTAATTTAGTTACAATTTTAATCAGTTGTTATTTTTTTAAACTTTATTTTATTATTTTTTACTTTTCCTAACTATTTTTTTCACTTAAATTTATTACTATTACACATGGGCTAACAAACCCCTGTGTGATAGCATTTGGGGGTGACAGGTACTCTTTATTGGCCCTGTCACCTCCAACACAGGAGTTCTAGCACAGCACAGCACTGTGCTAGAACTCCTGTGACAAGAACGAGCCGGGGACAGGGGAGGGAGGTGACAGAGCCTGTCACAGATCCATGAGTCCAGCTCCGTCACTGCTCCACGCCCCCCGCCGTTACAGCTCCACGTGCAATGGAGTTGCCTCACGAGCTGCCGATAGCTTTTTATTCCTCTCATGTGAGGACGACGTCGGCGGCGCTGAGCGGAGGAGCGTTGTGTCACTGCTGTGGGTGGAGCTCCAGGTCGCCGGCCAACTACATTAGACCCCACCTGGAGCTCCGCCCACAGCAGTGACGCAACGCTCCTCCAGCCTGCCCAGAGGACCCCAGCCACCACGGAAGGTAAGAAAAAAAAAACATAGCGCAAGCTTAGGCGCTAGGCATCAGGACATTTTGACAAGTGCAAGTACTTGTCAAAATGCCCTGTATCGGGCCCGATTCCGATGCTAGCATTGGTATCAGGACATCCCTACTTGAAACCTCTGTCCGGTTTTAAACGTGATTTTCCATCACTTCATGCTCTATCTGACACTAGCCACCTGGAGAAGTAAGGGAATCTCTTTCCCATTGGGACACAGACAGTAATATAAAACTGACAAAGCTTTGAACCCTTCCCCAACTCCATAGTAAAATGTTTTTCTGCATTGCTTGTGGGAGGGGTTGTCCATCACTTCCAGTTATAGACAAAAAGGAGGATGTAACTAACTCATTCCAATCCTTAAAAAAAAATTAAAAAAGCACACACCACTTTTGATTTTATATTGCCTTCCATAATGAAAAGGTCATGTGTAGGATGTGAGGATAAGACAGACCTTCACAGGTCCGATCATCTAGGTTGTCTCCAGCATCCTCAGCTCCCAGTGTACTTACAGGACACTCAAGAGGCAGGCACTGTGGGTCGTATAGATAAATTATCAGACCGCAAGGGAGGTTAATATCACAAATGATTAAGGGCTCTTTCACACATACGTTGAGAATTTAAATGACAGAGCAACGCTGATTAACACACCCATAGTGTTAAAGCATTCGGCAGGCATTTTCCCTATGGGCATGGTTCCCACCTGGGCGTATTTCAGACCGTGGAAACGCGCTGAAAAACGCCCTACGCCCAAACAAGTACAGGAGCTTGTTTGGGGCGTTTTTTCCACGCGTATCCATTGGTATTCCCGAGTGTGGCTCGGGGTTAACAAAGCGGTAACCTCGAGCCACACTTGGGAATACAGCGTAGGACTTACCTTGTCCGCGATCCCCGCTGTGTCCTCCGGCCGCTGCCGACTTCCGCCCCTTGCGAGCTGCCGCATTGCAGGGGGGCGGAACCAGCAGGAAGTTTGAGAGTTTAAAAAAAAAAAAAAAAGCCTAAAAGATAGAGAAAATAAAGGAAAACAAAAATCATACCGCCAGGGAGGTATAAAAACGAGCGTCAAACGCGCGTTTCACTGAATGAAAAAACGTGCTAAAAAACGTGCTGAAAAAACGCACCTATGGTACGCCCAAGTGTGAACCCAGCCTAATAGGCGGCAGAGAGGAGCTAAAAATGCTTCTCTAATGCCTAGTTTTGACACAAGAGTGAAAGAGCTTTAAGTGAAAATCCACACAGGGCTACTAAATGTATACTTTGTCACTATACTATGTTATACTATGTGATCTCCTCCACCTGCCACCCCCCTTGCACCTATCAGAGCTCAAACAAGGTAGAGTACCTTCACAGTGCTCCTTATGGGGCAAGTATAGCTTTACATAAACAGATCCCATAATCACCCTATATTCAGAAATGAATGCTTATGGGTGCTTCAATACCACTACTACTTATGAGTGGAGAATACCTATGAACCATTATTTACCTGTGGGAAAAGGGCAGTGGCTTTGTGATGCTGATAGATCTACAAGATATCTTGTATATTAGCGTTTCCTTGAATGTAAAATACTGCCATTTGTAGAAAGAACTCTAGCACTTTTTCATTGCACTCCTGAAAAGCTATTGACAATTAGCAGCAGCAAATCAGTTAATATGCATGTAAAATCTAGACGTATACTGTTTAAAGAAAGCTACACTAATACAAAGCCGATTATTTTGAAAAAATATAATTGCGCTTAGAAGGAAGCAATACAAAAAAATGATTCTCTCTGTCCAGATCCGGACTAAAATGGTCTCTTCCAGATTTACTCTTCAGGTAATAATTTCATACAGCTAAAACCGCACCAAGACAAATGATCAGAAGATCCCATAACATGCTTGAAATTAAAAATGATACCATAGCGAAGCCTATTTTTAGAACTATATTGTGATTAACAGTAATCGCACATAGTGGCTTTCCAAAATGTACCGGAATAGACAAACACAGTACAAGCAAAGTCATAATGTAATCACTATTGAACCCAAAGCTTTCAAAGTGATTGCTTCCTATTGATCAACATGGTTCATAGGAACACATGTAATATAGGATGGAAATGTAACTAAATTAAAAAAAAACTATTTAAATATATAGTTGAAAATGATATGCAATGTGAAGAAAGAAATGAAAAACTGTATACTTTATAATGCAGAACACAGGTACAGCAATGTTAGTTATCAACTGCTGTCTTTATAATATACCCCAAGGAAATCTGTATACTGTATGATCTGAGCACACACATGTTCTGACATTAAAACTTTTCATTCTTAAAGAACATTCTTAAATAGTGGGTCAAATTTTGCTGCCTTTCCAACCTGCTGTTTTTTGTGTGGTAATGAGCATGTTCATCGTAGTTTGATGAGGTGGACTGGAGCCTAATTTTATCCAACATTTCAGTCAAAAATATATGCAACTCACTGACCGATCTGTGTCAATGCCTGCCTGTCCATTTGCAGCAGCAAAAGAGAGTGCAGGTGTGTCTATTGGCCCTGGCAATTTTTTGCTTGGGGGGTTGATATGGCAGAGGGAATGGAGAATATACTAATAGCTCCTGCAATATATACATAACATACTCCTGTTCTCTACACGTTACATACTCCTTTTCATCGCAACTTATGTACTCCTGGCACCGGCTCACCGTACGTTATGTACTCCTGACCCGGCTCAAGGTAGGTTATGTACTGCTGTCCTTGGCTCTCCATATGTTATGTACTCCTGATCCCACCTCTCTCTACGTTCGTACTTCTGACTGACTTTCTATGCAATGCTTTATATTATACATTCCTGACCCCTACACTTTATATGACACATTGGGGGGAATTTATTAACACTGGAGCAAACAGAATCTGGAGTAGTTGCTAATGGCAACCAATCAGCATCTCTCTTCAGTTTGCCCAGATTTGTAAGATTTGAAAATGAGAGAGAAGCCGATTGGCTGCAGTGCAAATCTGCTCCAGATTTTGTCTGCTCCAGTTTTGATAAATTCGCCACATTGTTTCTTTGTCTTAACAGCTGGTGGTGGCCAAGTCCTCCTTGACCAGTTAAATTACATTCTTCTTGGAGGTAGGCTCAGACAAAAGTGTTATATATTACATATGCAGAAAAGCATGTACTATATAAGTGAGGTGAATGGTTAGGGTAGGATGGGCCACACTGTAGAGCACGTGGCCAAGGAACCCAGCATACAACACCGGCTAGATTTTAACAGGCAGACGATAGGGTAGTTCTCACACATTTAATCTGTGGATTTTGAGGTACGGAGAGACACTGATGGCTGGGATAAAAGAAAAAAAGTGAAATAATGAAAACGAACAACTATTTAGTGATTCAGTGAAACGTCAAGCTTTGGGGCCCTCTGTCACTTTACTGGGAACCAAGGAAAAGCCCATACCAGAAGAAAAAAGGTAGCCGTGGCTGGTTAAAAAAAAAAAAAAAATGGACACTCTACTAGGATACCAAACTCAAACTGAACTCTCACTTCTTGTGCAGGGTGGTTTAAGCCACATGGGGAGGAGAAAACCATTTTGCTTTCCGCTTAGTGTCCATCATTCTAGGTGAAGGACTATATTTCACTGGTAAGTTCCCCAATTATTACTCATAAAAAAATTGGCATCACCAAGTGCTTGCAAATACCTTTACTAACCCTTACATGACCTCATTGTGCAAATTTTGATAGGGAGGCTATATTATGTGGTTAGAGATACTCTAAGAATTGTACTTAGACGGATGTGGCACAGATGGAGGAATGAAAGACATACCCAGAGCTGGAAGTGCCCAATGCAAACAGACCACACTGGCCACTCTGGAACAGGACTTAAAACATGTGCAGGCAACAACTGGTGCCTGCTTTTATCCCCTACTGCTGAATACAATGCTTTACTTTTTTTTATACAGGATTACATTAAAGTTATTAATTCAAATAGTAAATTGCCACCAAGTGCCTTGATCAGATACTAGCACACTATATCTCATTCAAAAAAATATGTATTCTTTAGATAATAACAGTTTTGGGGTTATTATTTTTGTGTAAGAACCTATACCAAACATTTTCCTTCAACATGATTTCCATAGTATCATCGCATAGAAAACATAAGAAGCTTTGATGAATCACTCCACTAAACTAATCCGATTATCGGGTCATATAATGTAACCAAGAGTATGTGGTCATTTTATCAAACCACACAAGATTTACGCTTGCCCGAATTGTACTTTTAGGAGTTTGAGGATTAAACCTTCAACTAGTCTGGACGGCCATAAGCAAAATAGAATTACTTCAGTAGAAAAGGCAATACCTTTTGACAGAAGTCAACCAAAGCAGTGAAGTCCCATTTTTTGGCATATGTCAAATTATATGCAAGAATTGCTCCCTGAAAATAGAAAAAAAACATAAGAGTATTTAAATATCATGAATGACACAAAAGAAAAGTACACTGGCGCCACCTGCAGGTCTCTAGAAAAATAACATTTAAAATTACCTAAAATGAAAAGTAATTGTTTTGGTCATACGTTTGTGTTGCGATATCACGCGGTAAAATGCATTTTATTGTGTTAGTGCAACGCATGGGTTTATATCAAAACAATTTACATCTACTCTTTTCCCAGGCCCACTTTATCTATTGCAGTATGTCTCTGTGAAACATATGTGTTCCAAGATTAAGCCTCCTGACACCCCATCAATGTAATCCAGTAAATCAGATGCAGAAGGAAGCAAGCGTCGTATGCCAATCAAACTTCTGGTCAATGCTCCTGTGAGGCTAGAAGAACAGACTGCACCTAGACACGTTCACATGTTGAATTTCTCAGTTGTTCTTAAATGACAACTTAAAGGTTAAATGTACATATTTTTCACGCCTTTGCTTTGTGATCTTAAACCGTGCTAACAAATCCCTGTTAGCAGCCAAACTGTAGATGTTAACTACAAGTCTACTTTTATCCATTAAGACTTTGCTCTCTTTTAGCCATTGAGGAGAAGGTATGTGTATCTTCTGACTCACAGGTCTCTGTTTAGCACTAGAGCTTCTGACACCTCAGGTGCCATCACGAATGGCTTAGTGCTCTATCTGCTGGATATTTTATTAAAAATAAAATATCCATACTAACTTGATTCAATTAGAAGAAAAAAGACATAAAAAATATTACAGATTTCATTTAACCTCATAAATATTACCATTTTAAACCAAAAATGTATCATCAGTGGAAATAACGGGCCCATTCAGAGTTGTGCTTGCGGCAATGAGTACCAATGCACCCAGCAAACTGCAGTACACTACGGTGTCAATTATTGTGAATGGCAGCTTCACTCATAATGAATGTATGGTGCAACACACATTAACAAGGATAAGAATCTGCAATGGGAAAGCAGTTATTTGCAGCAGAGAAGCTGACCTCTGACAGCATATCAAAATGACCTCCTGCTCGGCAGGGTCATTTGAGAACTACTCTCAGATTAAAACCGATGAGAAACTTTAACATTGGAGGACAAAATACTAGGGGATGCGTATAAGGGAACTGGTTACTTGGGGGTTGATTTACTAACCTTATAAACACACCATGAATGTGTATACACCTCTGTAGTGTGTTCCCTCCCAGCATGATCTATGGGTGGAATCTAAACACCTTTGTAATGTGTACACACCCAGCAGGTGTGTTGTGCAAAGCCCTGAAGGAATTCCAAGGTGATGTTGGGTAAATTAGCTCTATGTTGTGTTGCTTGCGTTGATGAATGCAAGGAATGTAAATGCATGAGCTAACCATTTTTGTCTAAACTGTGAAGCAGCATTATATATGCATCATGTGCATGATTTTTCCATATATGGCATTAGAGGAAATATGCTTTTAGAGACTTTTTGGTTGATAAATACATTTTGCTGTGTGAAAATCACACACACCTGGTGTGTGTGTGTTTAGGTTAGTAAATCACCCCCTTGGTGTCAAATGTACAAGCCCCAAGGCCGGTATCCTGATCCTGGCTTCACTACCTAGTGAGTCATTGGCTTGGAAAAAGCATGCCGATCAGTCTCGAAGACTTAATTGGCTGCTATTAGTTGTAGGTCAATAGTGAAAGTCAGGATCACAACAATAGCTCTAGCAGTGTCAGCTCTCATATGTCTGTCTTCACTAGCACACTTCAAGTCTACTCCAGGGATAAGTTAATATGCATATAAAATTTTAGTCAAAGTCTTGTATGAGCCGGAATACAAGAAGTTGCACAGATGCTAACCAGTTACATTTGCAATACAGAAACAAAAACAACAAAGAAAATTATTCTACTTTTCTACAGACAGTAACAATTAAGGACAATGCATATCCAATAACCCCATTCACACCTTCAGGTCATGTGGGTTCCTTATGCTGCTCCTTAAAGATGATTCAATGATTTTCCATCGACTTCCTGGTGTCTTCTCACCGCTCTGCAGAATTTAAAAGAAAGCAATTACTATAAATACAATACTCTTTAATCTTTAAAGGTCAGTTTGACTCCACAACTTATTACATGGTCATCCACTGGATACATGTTGTTTTTTGAGCAGGGCATCTTAACATTTGTGCTGTCCCATGTGTCTGCAAAGAAAGTTGGATGGGGTATAGGCAGCTCGTTGTCATGTAACCTTTCAACCTGAAAAAAATAAAAAAAATAAAGAGATGGTGAGGAAAAAAAAAAACACAATACAATTTTACCTAATAAACACCACTGGCAAGAAAATGTAAAATGCTTTAAAAATAAAAATGTTTTAATGTAAAAAGGAGAGAAGAGAAGTAGCCCACGCACCACCTCTTGAAGGTTTTTCACCTGGAACTTGCTCTGGCAGGGTGTCTTAGGCTAGGTTCACACTATGGCGATCCAAGACCATGCGGAATCATGCACGAAACCACTGGGTCACGTAATCGTCCACCACCGCCGATCGCGCTGGCAGTGCCATTATTTTTCTAATGGCACCTCAGACGGATCAGGCATTTCACACCGCGATTCCGTCCCTGCGATTGACCACGAACACGGCTAAAACAGCTGCGCGTAATTTGTCGCCAAAAAAAAAATGTACATGTACTTTTTTCTGCAGTTGCCACGCGTATGTAACCCCATTGAAATCAATGGGACCATGCGGGGGAACCGCTGCGTGCAACTACACACGATCTCAGATCGCTCAGTGTGCACCAGCCCTGAGGGTAGAACTACCCACTGCTGCTCGTCATTATAAAGTTGTCCCTTTTTGTTTCCTTATAATTAAAGTCAGTGGCGGACCTAAGGAACAAAGGGTCCTGGCGCAAGAGGAACTCACTGGCCCCCCAACCCCCCTCTGCGCTCTCTAGACCAGAGGAGCTTACACTCTATTGTCCTCCCACAATCACACACTATTATACCTTTATATAGCTCTGCTATATACCACAGTGCTGTACAGAGAACACTGAGCCAGTCACATCAGTCTCTGTAAAGAGGAGCTTACACTCTAATGCAGAATGGCACCGGCTGTAGAGGGACTACAAATCCCAGCAACACAGAGTAGTATATGCACCGGACTCGCGACCCGGCCGTGCACGGGACTCACGACTTTGCAACACAGTAGACTTGGGACTAAAAACAACACTCACAAGGGGAAAATGCAAGCTCCCTGCCATTGAGCCCCCACGAGCCTTGGGCCCTGGGGCGGCTGTACCGCAGGTAGGTCCGTCCCGATTTAAGTGGCATACCCAAAAATTGCTGACAAGCAGGAGGAAGCTTTTATAAGACTTAAGGTGCCCATACACCTTACAATTATCTGCAGATTTTCTGTGGTCAGATGGAAAAAGTGCAACAGATTGGCCCAGGTGGAGATTACTCCATCCACACAGTTAAGTGTAGATGGAGGAATCTGTTGCACCTTTTCCATCTGACCACAGAAAATCTGCAGATAATTGTAAGGTGTATGGCCAGCTTTACACAGTCTCTTCTGTCATAGAAAGCCTGCTGTTCAGCATTTTTTATTTAACTTTTCGTCCACTAAGCAACTACGTAAACATCGATTACATTTCTTTGGGCGAGTATGTATTGCCCAACCATTCCAACAATGGAATGTTAAGTTTTAACTTCTGAAAATGTAAATATATGTTTTTAGAATCAGTGTTTGGCATTTCAGTGGTTACAAAGTCAGATCTAAATCAAAATCCAGCCAGTAGGGTAGCCTCTGTGGACACTTTTGTAAGAAGGTGGTGTCAACCAGATATTCAGCAAAGGTAAGAAAGAGATAGGCAGTCAGTTTAACAAGGTTGATGAGCAGGAACCTTGAAGCTGACTAAAAATCAAAAGGTCATTACATCAGGCTTCCATTTTAAAACCACAGATCAGACAAGGATCAATACAGTAGGCTAGTGTTATATTTGATGGACAGGAGACAAAGCGTGCCTGTGATTTTACAATGCAGGGCAAAGCAACAGGTTCAAGTTAAAGCTGGCCCCTGGAGTAGTTTATACTTACTTTATCTACATGTCCTGTGGAAACTTCAAGTAAATCTAGTAGGAAAGAAGGAGGTTGCGCACCGCTCAAGTCATGTCCAACGTTAATAAATTCAGACATATCACACTGCAGCCCTGCCTAGGACTGCCACTCTCTCTAGAGAGGTGGGGCTGCAGTGTGCTATGTCTGGGTTTAATAAAGTTGGACGTTACTGATGTCATTGGTGTGCGACTTCCTCTTTCCTACTGAGTTCATAGAGCATAGTTGGGCTCTCTTAGGTCTCTACCTGGAGTTCTAAAGGTGGGGGATTTTTACACAGGCTTGGAAAGGTGACGCTCTACTTTGTGTCTACTTCAATTCAATCTAGTTACAAGGCTGAGGACTTTCTTCCCACTTACTTGTGACACTGCTGTGCCCAAGCAGCCAACTGCCAAGAACCAGCACTGTGACATTGGAGGAATGGGATGAAGTCAAATATTCTCCAGTGTCCTGTAATACCTGGTATTTATCTTCACTCCCTAAAGTACACTAAATAGCAGGGCAGTAAGAGGAGGCAAGTATAAAAAGCTTCAACTGAACCTCTTGCTTTGCCTGCATTGAAAATTTTAACGCCAAACTCCAAGCTTAAATCTCAGAAGAAAATAACCTGGTTATAAATACCAGTGGTGAAAATATTACAAAAGAAGATCAATGTAATGGCAACTACTTACAAGGTGCTGAGAACCCTGTGACAAAGTAAAATAATCCATTCCTGTGACAAGACTCAGTAAAATGTCCTTTCTAGAGCTGCAACAATTAATCGACTAAGTCAATTATAATCGATGATGGAAAACGTTATCAACGTTTTCCATCATCGATTAATTGAATTTCGATTAGTTGGCCCGCTTGCAGCTCCCCGCTGCGCGACACATCTCCTCCCCGCCTCACTGCATTCCGCTTTTCCCCGCCTCACGTACTCGTCGCTGCCCGCCTATCTACATCAGCACAATGAAGGAAGAGCAGGCATGGGGGAAAGACAGCTGCCAGACAGGCCCACAATCTCAGGGAGACTGCTCAGGTAAGCCTGCAGCCCCCCCCCCCCACATGGTGCTGTATTAATGTGTTGCCTGGATTTGTATTCCTCTATAGCTGATGGTACATTGTGCTGTATAATATATAGCACAATGTACCATCAGCTATAGAGGAATACAAATCCGAGCAATACATTATACACTGTATGTATAATGTACTATTGCTGGCATTTGTTGCATTCCTATATAGCTGGTGGTATTCTGCATTGCGCCATATAATCATTATACAGCGCAGCGCACTGCAGAATATCACCAGCTATAGAGGACCTCAAATCCCAGCAATAATAAAATATACAGCGCAATGTACAATAACGCCAGCTACAGAGGACTACAAATCCCCGCAATAGCACATTATAGTATAATGAACTATTGCGGGGATTTGTAGTATTCCTCTATAGCTGCTGGTATTCTGCATTGCGCCGCTGTATAATGTATTATATTGCACATCCACTTTTTTTTTACTTCCACCGCTCCAAGCTTGCTCCCGTGATGGACTACAATCTCAATACAAACTAGTAGACCATCACTGGAGCCATTTTTTTAATCCGATTAACCGAACGTAATAATCGGCTAACTAATCGATTTGGAAGATAATCGTTGGCTGCAGCTCTAGTCCTTTCCAATAGGAAAGGTGGTCCACCAGGTATCGTCTTACCCTTACGGTGATGGTGTGGTTAGGAGAAGGCACCAATGGTGGTTGATAAGTTTGACACACTGGCATCCTGTTCATCTCTTCCAGTGGCGTCCCCAGCCATGTTATGTCAGAAGAAGCACGATTGAGACATGGTTCTTGATTATTTTTTCTGTTTTTAAAACAAAATAAAGCATGTGAGGAGCAATCAAATATAATGCCACACATGTAAATCAATCCGTGTTTTTACTAAAATCACCCTCACACAGATCAGAACAAGTACCATAATAAGGCTGGCCATACACAGCCCAATGTTCACAAAACATGTAAAGATCAAGCAAAAGTAGAGGTTTAATCTTGAGGCAACAAAAACACTAATAAGCGCTGTTAGTAATCCTAGTAATCATAGTGATTGGAAACAAGTATATGCACTTGATCGGGAGGTACATGACCTGGATCAGGATATCCAGATCTCTTACTGCCTCACTCTGCCATATTACCAGCCAAACTGTTGACAAGATCCCAATGGTTAAAAAAGAACTCCGGAAAAAATTATTAACCCTTGCAGTGGGGCTACCCCTGCACTGCAAGGGTTAAGTGCTCATGTTGGTCTAGGGAGGAAAAAACAAAGTTATACTTACCTAATCCTTGGAGCCAGCTGGCTGTTAGGCCGAACCCTGAGGCCTGGTTCACACCTGGGCGTTTTACAGCACGTAGGAACGCGCTGCAAAACGCCCTACGCCCAAAGAAGTACATGAGCTTCTTTGGGGCGTATTTGCTGCACGTATCCATTGGGATACAGCCAGGTAGCCCTCGGAAATGCGCGTTTGTTGCGCGGTTTTATCACGAATCGTGGATATTCGCTACGCCTAGGTGTGAACCCAGCCTTAAGCCTCGCTCTAGTGGTCTAAGATCCCATCCTATAGAGTGGACATTCCATCATTTTGACCGGTCCCTGGAGCCTCTCTCTTCCTCCACTGCAGCATCTAAAGGTCCCGGAGTCATCATGTTCTATATACAGAGTATAAAACATGAGGATGCCGAGGGTCATACCATCGCTGCAAAAGAGGAAAGAGGGAGGAAGCAGTGTCACTTGAAGGATCGGTTGAGTATAACTGTTATTTTTCTCCCTAGACCGGTGGGGGTAGCCTCACTGCAAGGGTTAGTAAAACATTTTCCCGGAGTTCTTTTTACCAATTAGCAGAAAGGTTGCTATTATTCATAATAATCTATCCAACAGATGGAGACAAAGTATACTTATCCTACCAGCTTAGCCCTACTGACCTAAACTAACCTACTCTTCCCACCCCTCAGACCGACATGTTTATAGCAAAAAGTTGACAGACACTGAGTGGAATTTATCAAATCTGGAGCAGAGAGAATCTGAAGCAGTTGCCCACAGTAACCAGTTTCTATCTTTCATTTTCAAAGCTTAACTGAACAAACTAAAGATAGAAGCTAATTGGTTACTATGGGCAACTGCTCCATATTCTGTCTGCTCCAGTCTTGATCAATTCCCCCATGCATGTTTCTAAAAAAGCCATGTAAACCAACCAAAACACAACCATTCAATGGCAAACCACCATAAATACTGCCATTTAGAAAGACAAATCTCTAGGAACTCCAGGTAAAAACCTAATTCACCATTACATTTTATACCTGAGAACTGTTACCTGGGAACTGTTACCTGGGAACTGTTACCTGCCAAAAGATTTGTAATTCTGTTCAGTAAATATTGTGGTGCAGACACCTCCACCAGAGACCACAGTCAGGTCATAGTCCAGGCGAACTGCAGATTTTAGGCAGAAATTGCAGTGTGTATGGACAGGAAACTTTAACATTACTCACAAGTATTAAAAAACCTGACATTCGAGGGTAGTGCACTGCAGCCACCTCTAGATACCGGTCCTTTATACCTGCTAGCAGCTTTATTATATTTATTGTTTTAGGCCACTGTCACTTTGGTTTTCAGTGTGAACTGGTGAGTTGTATTATCTGTCTTATCCACTAAAAAAGCCTAAAACACCATCTCATGACTTAGCCATGGCTGTGCCATTTGGGTTTAACTTCAGAAGTTTGGTGCAGGTACTTCTCCAATGGATTTCCCAAGAGATAGCATAATATGCGACTCAAATTTACCAGAAATCACACAGAACTCAAAACACCTCTTTTTTGGGAAGTTGGCACTTAGAACACAATTTTCCAGTGCTTGGGAGCAAAGCAAAATTTCACAAGACTAAAACCAGGTATACATGTGCCCATTTTATTTGTTCAATCTGTGGGCTGAAAAAAAAAAAAAAGTAGAATAGATTCCTCCACTAACGCTTACGAGCATTGATGGACAAATCCCCGCTGTTTTGGATTACAGTGGCCGCCGCCATGGTCAGAATACCACAATGGAGCTAGCAGCTGACTGGGTGTCAGCTTCATTCGGCCGAGAATTTTCCAACTGGCTCCTTTGATCAGCTGATTGAGGAATGCTAGGTGGAAGGGGTCCAAGAGTGGCACCCACTGTGCAAATTCCGGCTAGTTTAAGAGGGAACCAGCTGAAATTCGAACATGTGCACCCCTACTTTAGTCTGGCCAAATACTATTAGAATGTGGGCCGTTTAACAGAAATCAGTCCAAATTCTAACAGTGGGTAGCCCTGACGGCTCAACTAAAGTCAAATCACTGAATCAACTATTGTCGAAGAAGCTGTGCCGAAAAACACATATGCTTGTAACACAACTTTGTGGCCCTGGATATAATCAATCACTTATAAACATTCTTTATCACATTAAAAAAAAGTCCAAATGTGTAACTGCACGAGTGCTACTTTGCAGCTAAAATAGGGCAAGCAGTATCCAAAAGGTATCTGTATACTTTATGATATGCCTGCTTCATTCAACCTACCAAAACACAGTAGGTGCTACAAAAAAAGCTCATACTATAACTACATGAACAGAAAGACGAGGCTGTGGCAGAAAAAAATACTTTTACAAGTTGTTTAGAAACCATATGTTGGCCTCTACTTGGCAGCACAAGGTCTCAAAGGCCCTTTAAACCATCTTAAAAAATGTTCTATCAGATGCTGCCAAGTCTGGCTTCGTCTAACCTGATACCACTGAGACATCTGTAAAGGCTCATAGCCAGAAAAATCCTGTCTGCAGGAAAGAGCACCACCAGTATGCTTGAAGTGAAATCTAACCAACCACATCTGCTTTGGGGTGCCGCTGACTCGTCCCTGCTCTCTCCGGCACAGTGAATCACAGTGAATGAGGAGAGATTTGGGGGGATTTATTAAGCAATTATGTATAGTCTGCACTGTATTAGCAGTATATATTCTATATAGCGTACATATAGAGTACATACTGCTAATACAGTGCAGACAATACATAATAATATGAATGGGTTAAATGATCCGTAATACATGATATGTAGTCCTGTACTACGGATTATTTAACCCATGTTAACAGTGCAGAATCATATATCATATCATATATATCATCTTTAAGAAAAAGTATCGGTAATTGGTATCGGCAAGTACATGAGGGGATGTACTTGTACTTGGGCCTGAAAAAGTGGCATCGGGACATCCCTAGTACATGCCATGACACATTCTTTCTGAAAGCAGTAAGTTTGAGTATCTTGACTTGTACTAAGGCACTCCAGCTGAAAACAATGGACATTCAAATGATGCCGGTTTCATAGGGTCGCATGTTCCTTTCTATAAGGAAAGGGTGAAACCTAAACCTTCAAAACAAGTCACATATTGATTCTATAGAATAGTATAACACTATAATGGATATGGAAGATACCCTACACTATGTTTGGCTACCCACGGTTTACTGCACCAATCAGTTTATTGAAGTTACGAACATCACAGCTATAAGGGATATGTCTAGCCTATGAACACCTCCCACAGCAGCCATGCTCTTTCAATGTATTGATGTTTAGAACCACAATAGTATTGAGGAAATAAGCAGAGTACCCAGCTTCTCTCTCTGTTGTGAATCATACATAAAACACATTAAACATTTTTGCAGATTCTCACTGTGCAGATTTAGATTGCCTTTGGACTCTGTCATGTTTCCATGATGCTATCTATGTACTTGTGTAGTTATTTAGCCACAGGGGACATGACAAAAGGGGAGACCTCCCATAAAGTGTTAGTATTATTATTACTTCATATGAAAAGAATTTGGCTCACAAATGAGCTACAAACAACCACTAGAGCGGTAACTTACACATTGCTGGAGGTACATTCAACTCTCTTAATATCAAAGCACTTCTTCCAAATTCCACGTTTAACTTCCAGGATGGCAAAGAACGCTAATCCACAGGGTGCAATGTACCTCATCATCTGGCGAGGACATAATGCATACAAAGTCACTCCAGTGCATCTCTTCTTTAAACAGAGAAATCACTTAATGCATAAGAATCGTCTATTCACTTATGTTCACTGAAGTATAGAGGTGCCCATGGGCCGATAAAACGATCTATGTATGTCTATGTAAAATCTACGGGACATTACCAAAAAGCCCATAGAGCCCATCTAAATCCAAGGACAAAAGTTTCATATATTGCAGCTTACCGGTCCTTACACGTGCTGGCTGCATTTGTTTTCTTTATTCAGGATTCTTTTTTTTCCCCAAGGTGATCCTGCCAGGAAAACACTTCCTGTCTTAGGGTGACACCACTCACTGCACTGTAACTATGGAGAGTCACTCTAGCCCACTCTCCTGATTTAGACTACAAACATTCCCCTCTTTTCTCATCTGTATAACAAAGTGAAGTAGGGAAGTGCTCTGTAGTCCGCAGAAAAAAAACTGTACAGGGCTGATAACACTGTTTGTGTACTTCCTGCTCACGGAAATCTCTTGGATGATCAACAAGTATTTTTCTGCGCTTGCCAGAAAAAATTTACTTAGGGTAAAAAAGAAAACCAATGCAGTCACCACATCAAAGAGCTTGTGCTGCAATATATGTTTGCTCTTGGTTTCAGATTTTAATGATAGTTTGAGGGGGACAAAGTGATTAAATAGATGCAAAAACCTTGCCCAATTACTTCTGGGACTGTGTGCTCTCCTCCCCTTGCCCAAATGAAAATGTGCGACCAAAACGTCAGTTTGTCCGCACATATCAAGCTATTCATGGATGTCTGCAGCCTGCTTAAAGTTTATTCAAAGG